TATTTATTTATTTTTTTTCATGTGCAGACCAAATTACATAATATTACAAAGTTAAAGAAGATAATCCAAGACGCGAAGGATAATGTGATCGAATCTGAGTTGAGACGAAGGATGCAACCTCTGAAAGAGCTGTTGGGTAGTGCCATTGATCAATTGCACGTTGTGTTTGAAAGCCAAGTCTTTCTAATAGTCTGCCGTAGTTTCTGGGACCGCATGGGACAGGTCGGGAGCCACTCGAGTTGGCATTTGGCTATTTTTTTTTTTTGTTCATTAGTTATTGTTACACTCTAATAATATGGTTCTCGAAAATGCAGGACGTGCTGAAGTTTCTAGAAGATAGGAAGGAAAACAGATCCTTATACAAGGCCTCACGGATTGCAGTGACTGTAAGTGTGTTTTCTTTGTTGAACATTGAGAAAAACCGGTTAATGTTTTTTTTTTCTTTTTCTTTTTCATATAATGTTGTTGTTATGATGACAATAAATGGGGTTTGTTTTAGGTTTTGGACGACACATTTGCTTCACAAATGCAACAGTTGCTCGGCAATGCTCTGCAGGAGACAGATTTAGAACCTCCGAGATGCATCATGGAAGTTCGTTCTATGCTTTGCAAAGACGTCCCGAACAAGACCAACAATTACTACTATTAAGATAGATATTATGACGAGTCTCTTTAGAAATCGATCACTGGTCGGAACTAAAAAAGAATCTGATCAAGCGCTTTTCCTTTGCGCGTTGATTTTGTTGCGGCTCGAGAAGCAATGAATCTGAGGGGAAAGAGCAAATTCTGGTTTTGTATGAAATGTAAATTTTAGCAGTGGTCGTCAGATAGTAGTAGCAGTAGTAATAGTTTCTTGGTGAAGTTGACAATTGAGATTTTTTGCTGTGTGATTGTCTATATACAACTCTAAATGCCCTTTCATTTATAATTCTTTCATATTATATTATTGAGAAATGTTACGGCCCCGTTACGGTATCATCCCGTTTAGTGTTTTCACCGGTAGATCATCTATCTTATACTAACTACATGTGTATCCAACGGTGAAAACACCTGACGGGATAGTTCACGGGACCATAGCATTTCCCTATATTATCGAGTAATGCTATAAGTACATAATATTGTACACAAGGGTGTAAATAACATTTCACATTGAATGGACCGACCAAAAATAAAAAAACTCAAGTCGACCCCAATCCATGTGAGCGTTATTTAATATTTATATTAAATATCCATGTAAATTTATTATTTGTAGCATTTTCTTTTAAGTATTTAATATTTATATATATCCAATCAGTAAGAACCCAATAATTTTAAGGCAAAATTGTACCTTACATCACGAACTTATCGACTTTTGTAATTCTGTCACGACTTTGGGACCTTTGCAATTCGGTACTCGATCTTTGGTTTTTTTGCAAGACCAAGCATTCACCACCTCGCCGACCGACAGATGTCAACTTGCCTGGTCAATTAATCCAACATGACACTGACGTGAAGGACGTGTCTCAGGCAAAATATGCAACTCATCAATATGACGTCGCTTCGTCTGTAAAAACATTTTATAAATACCAAAAAATCTCCAAAAAATAATCAAATCCCTAAATTCGACCCTGCGACGAGAAATTGTTCTTCCTTTAGCTCCAAGAACTCACTGTAATCTCTATCTTCGAAATTTGCTGAGAATTTATAGGGTTCTTCGATGACTTAGGATTTTTCGATTTCGATTGTTTGGTCGAGGAAACAGTGAATGGGATTAGGGATTTTTTTATTTCGATTTTGATTTAGGAAGTTAGGGCATATATTTGGTCGAGGAAAGAGTGAATGAGGATTTATGGATTTGTCGATTTCGGCTTAATGTAATATTTTTTTTTTTTTTTGAAATTTGTAAATGATGAAACGACATTGTTGGACATGGCTTGTCATTTTGCCTGAGACACGTCCTCCACGTCAATGCCATGTTGGATTAAGTTGCTGGACAAGCTGACATCTGTCGGCCGGCGAGGTGGTCAATGCTTGGTCTTGCAAAAAAACCAAAGGTTGGGTACCGAATTGCCAAGATCCCAAAGTCGTGACAGAATTGCAAAAGTCGATAAAGTCGTGCTGTGAGGTGCAATTTTGCCTAATTTTAAAGCTATTTTCAAACTTGGTTTTACACAAACATAGAATTATTTTATAGTTTATATATTAATTTATAATTGATTTATTGTAATGTAAACATAATTATAGGTCAGATCCATTAGAAGCTTGGCTGATCGAGATTGGAGTATTCGATTTCAACATGTGCATAGGGAAGCGAACTTCGCGGCTGATTATATGGCGACACTAGTAGCTTCTTTCCCGTTAGGACTACAACGACTTCCATTACCCCCCCAAGGGTTGGAGACATGGCTTGACCACGATTCACGTGGGGTGGCTCACCCCCGCCGAGTTCTAGCATAACTTTAGGCCTCCGGCCTCCTTCTTTGTACCAAAAAAAAAAAACATAATTATAGGTGAATTTAAATATCATGAGTGGTGGCAAAGGCTCTAAAGACATCCAAACAAGGAAAAGGTGGACCAGAAAGACCTCTTCCATTGTGGGTCAATCAAGTAAAGGCCCAGTTCACTCCAATACTATATCAGAATCTCAGCCTAACAGCAAGAAGAGAGCTCTTAATATTGAGGAGCTGGATAATTCTAATTCTTCTCAAAATGAACAAGGTGGTAAGAAGTTGAAAATTGACTCTTTGAAGGTGGGGGTAGCCAGCCTAGAATGGCCCCAAGTTAATCAATGAAGCTCATGATGTGGAATTGTAGAGGGTTGGGTGGACCCTCCACAATTTCACAGCTTAAGGAGTCTTCCAGACTCCACCACCCCGATTTTGTCTTTCTTTCAGAAACAAAAAAAACAAATAATTTTATTAAGTCGGTTTGTAGGAAAATTGGTTACAGAGACTGTTGGTACGCAGTGGAGCCTCAGGGTCTCAGGGGAGGCCTTCTTGCTCTTTGGAGAAATGATGTTGTCATTAAACAGATTATTAGCAACAATTTCAGTATTCAAATCCAAGTTGCAGGTAAGAGTGAGGCTGAAGACTTGTGGATAACATTTTTATATGCCAGTACTGATAAAAGAGAAAGACAATTGCAATGGCTGTTCTTGAAAGATGCTAGTAGTTCCTGGGGCAGTAAGTGGATTTTGGGGGGCGACTGTAATGAAATTTGCGATGCAAGTGAGAAGAGAGGAGGAAGGATCAAAGCTGCCAGGGAGTTCTTTGAGTTCAATGATTTCATAGCTCAGATGGGTATGCAGGAGTTGCAGTTGACTGGTCACAACTTCACTTGGGGCAACAATAGGGAGGCTGAAGGTTTCATAGAAGAAAAAATTGACAAAATTTTTGTCTCTTATGATTGGCTAGGGGACTTTCCTCATACTAAGGTGGAGAATATCTACAAAAGTTCTTCTGATCACAGATTGCTGTTCTTAAATGCCACACCTAATTGCCTTAGTATGAAAGGGCAGCGGTTTTTCTTTGACAAGAGATGGCTGAAACGGCCTGGGATTTTGGAAGCTGTAAATCAAGGTTGGTCTTCATTGCAAACAGGTACTCCAATGTTCCAGGTCTCAGAAAAAATTAAAGCTACTCGAGTAGCTCTGCTTAAATGGAGTTCCACTTTTCGAAGAGATCATATTATTGCAAAGCAGATAGTTTCAGAAGAATTAGAACAGATGAGCACCATGGGCACTGATAGGGACTGGGCTAAATGGGAGCAGCTGAAAAGGAAACTTAATGATCTTAACAAAGCTGAGGAAAGTTTTTGGGCTCAAAAGGCTAGGTCCCAGTGGCTAGAAGAAGGAGATTCCAACTCTAAGTATTTTCATGCAGCTACTTTGCAGAGGAGAAGACTGAATGGCATTTCTAGCCTGGTGGATGAGTCTAATCAGGTTTGGTCTACTAATGAGGAGATTCAAATCCATATATGCCAATTCTATGATCACTTATTTTCTTCTGAAGGATCTGTTGGAGACTCTGAAATTCTCAACCTTATTCCTAAGTCAATTTCTTCTGAATTAAATGACTCTCTTATAGCCCCTATCTCATCTGAAGAGATTAAAGCTGCATTGTTTAGTTTAGATCCTGGGAAGGCTCCAGGCCAAGATGGAATGAGTCCTATCTTTTTCCAAAAGTTTTGGGATGTGTTTTGTACAGATTTTTGCAAGGCTATACTTAGCTTTTTTGAGTCTGGGAAGCTTCTCAAGAGCTGGAATCACACAGTGATATCCTTGATTCCCAAATGTCCTAATCCAGACAACCTTAAGCAGTATCGGCCTATCAGCTTGTGTGGAGTTGCATATAGAGTGATTGCCAAGATCTTATCTCTTAGAATCAAGCCTTGCCTTTCCTCTTGCATTGGTGAGAACCAGGCAGCTTTTATCCCTGGTAGACAGCTTATGGACAACATTGTCATTGCTCATGAAAGTGTCCACTTCCTCATCAGGCATAATTCAGGGAGAAAATGTTACATGCTTCTCAAACTGGACATGGAGAAAGCTTTTGACCGCATTGAGTGGAGCTGTGTTAAGAAAGTAATGCTGAAGATGGGATTCCATGCTATATTTGTTAATTGGATTTGGGCTTGTATTTCATCATCCACATTCTCTTTCAACATCAATGGAGAGCTGAAAGGATACATCTCACCTTCTCGAGGCATCAGACAAGGTGATCCTATATCACCCTACATCTTTATTCTTATATCTGAGGTGCTATCTAGACTGCTCAGGCATGAGGAAGGTAAGGGTTCCTTTGGTGGTCTGAGGATCTCAAAACACAGCCCGACTGTCTCTCATTTGATGTTTGCGGATGACACTTTGATTATGTGTGATGCTTCTGAAAATCACACCAGGGTTCTCAAGTTATTGTTGCATAGATACCAACTCTTCACAGGACAAAAAGTTAATCTTGCCAAGTCCTCTGTTTTCTTCAGTAAGAACTGTTCTTCTACTCAAAAATCTACTATCTGTCATATGTTGGGTGGGATCCAATCTCATAGGTCCACCAGATACCTTGGTTTGCCCCTCGGTATTGGTAAATCCAAGAAAGAATCTTTTGACTTCATCCTACAGGCTGTTAGAGGAAGGATGGTGAACTGGAAAAATCAATTTCTTTCTGACGCTGGTAAGGAAGTTCTTCTGAATGCAGTGATTGGGGCACTTCCAGTTTATTCTATGTCATGTTTTTGCCTCCCCAAAGGAGTATGTCAAGAGATTGCTAGAATGTCAGCTGACTTCTGGTGGAAAAAGGGAGATTTGCATGCCGGTATCCACTGGAAAAAATGGAGCAATATCACTTTGCCAAAATCAGGAGGAGGGCTAGGTTTTAAGGATGTGCTTTTGTTCAACAAAGCCCTCATCCTTAAGCAAATATAGAGGCTAATCTCTCACCCTAATCTGCTGGTTACTAGAGTTCTGAAAGGTAAGTATTTCAATGATTGCTCTATTCTGCACGCAAAGAGACCACATAACTTGTCTTGGTTGTGGAGTAATTGGATGGGAGTTATAGGCGAGTTTCATCAGTACTTCAAAGTGGAAATTAGACAAGGCAGAAATGTCAATATTTGGTCTGATCCTTGGCTGCCTGGGAGAAAAGATGGTCTGCCAGTTAAAACTTCAGGTGG